AGCATAATTCTACATATCAGATTCTTCAGAGCGGCGTCCCCTAAGGGACTCCAAGAAAAAGATTTTACGGTAAGAACAAAAAATTCTCTTTTCTGCTGTAGTTCAGTAACACTTACAGGTCTCCTCCCTGCCATGTGACTTGATACTGCAAGGAAAAACATGCGACTGATGAGCTCATCTCTATCACTCTGATCTCTCCTCCTATCAGCATGCTGCTTGCTCCTTTGTGGTGCTTCAACCTGCCCCAGTCTGAACTCTGCTGTACAAGGACTGTAAGAGGTCGATACCAGATCCGATTTAGGCATTTATGATATGCTTTTTTTTTTTTTTAATTCTTTATTTGTACACGCAAATGAACACAGTACAGACATGTGAAACATCAGGGCCTCATGGCCTGTCAAAAGCAACCATATATAGAAGTCCACTTTGTGAGGCATAGAGCCACGCCTGGCCTGGCCTGGCCATGCCCTACCGCCCACACATATCACGGTGAAATCATTAATCTGCACTAGAGCTCAATATGCATTTTCACATTTTCAACAGTGATCCTAAATTGAACTAAGAAATAACAGAGACTATCCCTCAATTTGAGCGGATAGTTCCATGTCAGCTCAGAGAGAATAAAAGAATAGCTGCAGCAGGAAAGAGAGAGGAGGAAAACAAAAAGACATAACAAGACGACATCAGGGGGGTGGGGTAGACAATAGGTCCCAGTTACCTAGCAGCTCATAGAGTTTATCCCACCTGACCATGTTGGCACTCCTAATGGGGAGCCCACTGCCAAAGCGCTACTTCGGATTGACCTGAGGGAACTCAGCAGAGTCCCGAAACTGATACCAGGCAGCCCAAGTGCAAACAAACTTATGCTGGGTTTTATGTATTGCGGATGTCAAATCCTCCATCAGTTTGATCTCCTCCACTCTCCGCACCCACATCTCCACCGAGGGTGCTCGAGATTGTCTCCATAATGCTGGAATGCACGCCCTCGCCGCGTTCAGCGTTTCTATGCTTTTCTCGATAGTGGTGTCAGGTGGAGGAGATACACCTTATGTAATGCTTTATGCATTCCAAAAAGACTTTTGAGGGTGTAGTAATATATACAGGGCTGCATTCATTTGTGTGTTTTGATCTGCCTGGAGTTCAGCGTCACACTTTTTTCTTAGTTTTGGATAGAGTGGAGAGGAATTAGAACACCCGTCAGGTTGTTCTTGCCATTTGTGCCCCAGTTAGGTAGATTCCCTCTTTCTCCCGATGGCTGTTATCACTGAAAGTGAAAATCCCAAGTTTTTGGCATCAGAATTGGAATAGATGGAAAATCTTCCAATGAGGACACTAGTCCTGGTGACCCTGCTGACCTCCTGAAATTTCCCTCTCAATTCCTGTAGTGGCTATCAGACAGGAAGTGAAGGAAAATGTTCCCAATGGGACACAGATGGCACACAAAAAAAAAAAAAAAAACTTGACGAGTTGCTTCATTCAGTGTTCCTTAATACAAGACTCACATGAACTGCTTGCCGTGCGCCCGTTGTGAAAAAACGGTCCGACGGCAAACTCCCATTGGCGGGTTGCCGTAAATAAACGGCTTTCTTTTCCTGCTCGCTCGCACGGGCAGAAAAAAAAACTGTCCACTGCAAACAGCCGTTACCGGCTGTTTCACGCACAAGCGATCGGCGGCTCTATAGCCGTCTGATCGCTTGTATGTGCTGCTTGTGCGCCCCCTCCTCGAGTGCTGCCATCTCATTGCCCCCTCCTGCACCCTCACCTTCAATCCCGGGATCCGCTGCCCCATCTGTGGCCCGGGGACCGGCTCGGGAGGGTGTCAGGGGGAAGATGGGAAGGAGATCAGCATCTTCCTCCTTGCTGATCTCCCTCCGACGTCTGAATGCAGAATGCGATGTGTATTACATTACTTCCGCATTCACCTGTCATTTCTCTGGCTGCTATAGCAGATCTCTGCTTCATCAGCTTCTTTGGGGGTCCTCAGGTGACATTAGGGTTCTTAGAGACCCCTTATGTCTCCATAAAGAGGACCTGTCAGTGTGCCTTTGCTATTATATAGGGGGGTTGTTATCCCCCTATGTGATAGCAATAACATTAAGTATGAAAAAATAAAATAAAAGTCACATAAAAAAAAGCAAAAATAAAACCCCAACATTTTTAAGTCCCCACCACCACGTTTTCGCACATTTAAACATAAATACGCATCAGATGCGCCAGTGCGAAAAAACACACGTTACATATGGCCGCGAACGTCGGAGTGAGAGCAATACATTTTAGGGCCATAAATCACCAATAACACTAAACTGATGAGCGGTAAAAGCTTTTAAAGCATCGCCTATGGCCAATTTTGGGTATTGTAGTTTTTGCGCGCACAATTTTAAGGCTGGACATGTTTGGTGTCTATTTACCCGACGTGACCCCGTCTTTTATATTTTACCAAACAATTGGGTAATAATAAATGTTTTATCATTTAATATAGGGGAAACAGGTTTTCGTTTTTTTCGGTAATGTTTAGTTACTATAGCAAAAAAATAAAAAAACCTTGGTGGTGATTAAATACCGCCAAAAGAAAGCTCTATCTGTCCACAAAAAATGGTCTAAAATTAATTTCAGTACAGCGTTGCATGAGGGAATAAACGTCAAAGTACTGCAGCACTGAATACTGAAAAATGGCCTGGCCAGGAAGGGTGTTTAACACCGCGGTCAGCAAGTGGTTAAAGTGCGTTATTTTTAATTTTTGACTAAGAGAAGAAGTATCTGCAGCTTAGGCTTCATTCACACTTCCCACTTGCATTCGTATGCAGAGATCTGTCTGCAAAATCTGTCAGGCTAGATGTTTCCTTTATGCTTCTGGATGGTTAAAATGGGCCACATTACATGCATATGCGTTTAAATGCATCTGCCTTTTGCCAATTAAAACAGTCCATAGAAGTAGTCCATGAAGAGATTTCAGCAAATAAACGCGCCTTGCGTTTACACGCATTTTGGTGCGTTTAGAAGTTAGGTTTGATTACTGGAAGCACCTGACTTCTATTTTTTCTAAATCCAGCTAAACTGACTGCAGATAAAAGCATTTAAAACACAGTGAAGGGGATTTATCAAAACTGGAGCAGACAAAATCTAGAACAGTTGCCCATGGCATTCACCTTTCATTTTCAAACCTTAACTGAGCAAACTAAATAGAGAAGCTGATTGGTTGCCATGGGCAACTGCTCCAGATTTGTCTGCTCCAGTTTTGATAAATTCCCCTAAGGTGTTTATAGATCCATTGGAAATCATTAGATGCATATATATGCATTTAGAAAACCATTTTAAATGCATTAAAATTAATCTAATTGCACTTATTGTGAATGTCGCCTTAGAGTCTGATTGCTAGGCACAACCAGGACATGTTTATCCTGTCTCTTTCACACTTCTTTTCTATTTAGATGTCAGGATAGTTCGGACAAAAAGTTGTTCCCAAACAATACAAGAGTCTAAAAATCACCACGTTTGCTCCTTCTACAGGCTTCAACTGGAAGTGGCTGGCGAGGAAGGTAGAAATCCCACCTCTGTACATTGACTTGTGGAAACAGAAAGAAAATCCAGCGGGTGAGGTGCTCACAAGCTGGAGGGTAAGGCAACATACTCCAAAAAAGAAGTTATATTACCGAGAGTAGAACTACTGTGGTAATAAGGTGGTTTACAGAAGTATCTTGGTGAAATCTCCTTTACCAAAACTGTACAGTGTACGAGTCAAACTATTCATTTTGTACCTGATCAGGTGGGTAGTAAAACAAGAATTATACTCACATTCACCATAGAATAAAATGATTAAAGCCCAACTCCCAGAAGCCCCCTCTGCTCTCTCTTGTTTAAAGTCACATACCTTTTTTCTGCATTCCTCAGGCTGTTCTGGTGATGTCATAGGTCCTTCCTCTTCTTTTCTGGTAGTGGGCATTCCTTACTCTTGGACAGTTCGGTACTATGCATAAGTACTGTGACTCCAGGCCGCTGTGATGACGTCCCCAAGGGGTGTTTTCATGATGGCCTGGGTCCACAGGATGTGGGCTGAATGACTTTAGAAGTCATTCAGCTTTGAAGAGGACCATCAGGAGGAAAATGGAGCTTAAAGTCTGTGGGGGTACAGAGCTGAGTATTGCAGAGGAAATTGATTTTGGCGTTTTCACATATGCTGAGCATTAGGTTTAATTTCTATTAATAGTTGGTCTGTAATGTGGGCCAAATGTTTTTTTGTTTTTTTTTGGTAGAGTACAGAAGAGTTAGAACATCTGAATGTTTATCTTGCTTTCTCATTTTCTGTCTCTGTCCCTATTGGAGACATTCTCGCTTCACTTCCTGTTTCGGTGACAGTGGTCACTGACACTGGAGGTAAGAGAAACTCTCCATGTTGAAGATCCAGACAGTGAGAGAACCTGACAGAGGTACTAACTTTTCACCAATTTACCAAAAAAAAAGTTTGGTTTTCAGTTACACTATTATGTGTTCTCATGTTGTTTTACCCATTCCACGCAGGTGAGGAAAGCAGCTACTATTGGACGGCTGTTTGATCTGCTTCTAGAGTATCGGGAAGACCTGGCAGCCTTGTTATGACAGTGGACTACATGACTATATGAATGTTGTAAATGGTTTCAATAAAAAAAGAAAGATATAGTGGTGTCTGGAGCAGCTTTATTCTGAGAATTATCTTAGAGAAGAGGAAACAAACACGTCATGGTAAACAGAATGGGTAACTGATCTTTTTGATGTCCTGATTCAAAAGGGTCTGTATGTAGAATGGATATTTTGGCTGTAGGTGGATGCAGGTGAGTTGAATCAGTCGTCACCTTCTTACATCTCTCATGGAATCCAGTGGCAAGGTCTCTAAGCTTTGCCCACCATGCCACAGCCTGTATCACATGCTGCTTTCTCTGCCAGATTTTTATTCAGTTTACATGATAGAGAATACAGCAAATTGAATAGGCTTTCCTTCTCAACAGCATGACGGTCCTGAATCTCCAGTTGGAAAGTCTTTCTGAAGTGCCCAAGAGCTATAATACTTCCGAGCTCTGCCTACCTGCTGCAGCCATTACAATGAAGGTATCACTCTACCTGTTTAAATTGTTATTTATTAATGGAGAATGTAGTAAGAGGAGTGAGACTATGTGGGAAGGGGGCAAAGCAGTGAAATCTGAAGACAAGAGATCCTAAAGTCCCGAAGCGATATAACATCCAGAAGGTGGAGTTCAGCACAACAAACCTCACCTATGGATTAGTTTTGAATGAAGTGACCTATCAAGTGCAAAAGTTCACGCACCTAGAAAACAATGGAGTGCCCTAGTCCATCTCTGTAGCCATGGGGGAGTCTCCATGTATGTGTCAAGTTACACTGTACATAGCACTGCTAGGGTCAATCCTTCATGGTCCTCCTGAACAAAAAACGGTTTCTCACTCACTAGAGACCAGCGAAGAAGCCATTCTGGGAAGGATCAGCCCTATCTGTCCGACTTGCTTTTCCCCCTTTCCCAGGTAGTGGAGTTGTGGAATATTTTGGCGGATATCTTATAAACAGGCGGTCTTCCTCTCTCTTGATCCAACGGAGGAGTTTGGTGATAACATTAATGGCGCCCACTTTAGTCACTAAAGAGCTGAACGTTGTGTACAGTTCAAATTTGCTGGTGACCTGCAGGAGGAAACAAATATTACTTATACATGCACGAATAACTAGCCCCAACCCCACAGCCTTCTACTTGTCAAGAAACTAAAACCCCAGCATGCATGAAGGACTTGTAGATAACAGTATAAAAAGTGCAATGCCTTGTATGTATTAAACTACCCCAGACTATATGACATTAAATTACCCATGCTAGCATGGTCTCTTTCTCTGCCACATGGTAAATCAGGCGCAATGGTCTTGCTGAGCTGTGAATGCGGCAATGAAGATAACGGTACAGGTCAAACAACCTCTGTTTCTCCTCCTCGCTGGAATACGGGCCATCGGGTTCAGGGCTGCAGAGAGACAAAGGAAGCAATTTGTAAAATGTATACTTTTGTTCTTGTATAAGTCAAGGGCTCGTCCACCCAGGACGGCTATTAGGCTTTGGGAGACTCTGTAAAGCTAAGCACCTGACAACTTCTTACATCTCTCAGGTACTCCTATGACAAGACTAAGTTCCTGGCTCTTCACACCTGGGGGGGGGGTTTCTGTTCGGTGTCACTCAGGAGTTACCCATTAACTCCTGAGTGACATTAAACTCAGGAGTTAAATCATAAAAATGTATGCAAAAAACCTCAACTATTAACTAAAATGTATCTTATTTGTGTATCACTCGGCTGTAGATCAAATCAAATCATCTCTGTATTGGAGCTGACACTGTCCTTCCTTCTGAAGGGTGGCTACTTTTGTTCCCCATGTGTGTGTGTTGTAAAGTAGTCATTGCTCCAAACTCACTCCTGTGATGGACTACAATCTCAATACAAATTAGCAAGATAAATGTGAGATTGTAGTCCATCACAGGAGTTAGCTTGGAGCGGTGACTACTTTACAACACACACAGGGTCCATGGGGAACAAAAGTAGCCACCCTCCAGAAGGCAGGATGGTGTCTGCACCAATTCAGAGATGATTTGAGGATCTACAGCTGAGTGATACACAAATAAAATACGTTTTTTGTTAATAGTTAAAGGTACTTGAATAAAGTTTAACTCCTAAGTTAAGTGTCACTTTAATTTATATTACAGTTTGGAGGAATGGGAACACCTGAGATGGGACGCATCAGAGCTGAGAACTAAGACAGGGAGATCTCACCAGTGGATTCCCTAAGGGTTTAAAAAGGCTTCACCCTCAAAATGAAATATCACTTTTGGGTTATTCAAACCTTTAAATATGGAAAGTGAAACAATTTGTAAGCTTTTGAAATTGGTATTTTGAGAAATCTTATTTGTTTGTAATATACATCTATATGAAACATGCATATTTATAGCTTGTATTCATATTCGGTACATTAGGACAATCACCCTACATGCTCACTACCCATGCTATTGCACAGAGAATGTGCTTTATCACTCTTGTGCTGGTTTCCGGTCACAGAACAGTGATTAAAGAATGTATTCTTTGTTCTCTTTGAAAAAAAAATTTAAACAAAAACACATCCACTCCAATCCACCAATAGTAAATGTTTTTTAAAAGAATAAAGTTGTATTAATTCATAAAATAAAAGACCAGCGACAGCACAGTAGGCAGGCATTGTCCACATCTTTACATTCTGCCCGTATAACATATTGAACTGTTGGAGCATTCCTGAATAAGGGGATATGGAAATAATGGATGTTTTACAGCAGGGGTGGGGAACCTCTGGCACACCAGCTGTGGTGAAACTACAAATCCCATGAGGCATTGCAAGATTCTCACAGCCACAGACATGACTCCCAGAGACATGCATCATGGGATTTGTAGTTTCACTACAGCCGGAGGTTCCCCACCCGTTTTACGGGAAGCCTCATTACATACACACACACACACACACAAAGTGGAGTTATTTGTGTCTCAGAAGGCACACTTTAACTCGCTTAGCCACAAAACAAGTGTCATTGGTGGGACCTCAGGGTAGGTTTGGTATACAGTACTCGGTTTTAACAAAAACTAAATGTCCAAGTAGCTTATTCTGTCCTCCTTTTTGTCATGGAAGTAGTTCAGCAGCGTGGCTGACTGTGCTAACAAACTGACAGCCACGGACTCTAAAAGCATGTAGGAAATGTAAGATGAAACCAATAAATGGGAAAAATTATGTTAAAACTGAATTAATTGTGAGTAGTCACACTGAAAACACAAGTTTCCCATAATATCTGAAATAATAAAGTTCCTTCAGCGATCTCCTCCCCCGTGTTGTAACGGTTAGCTGCACTAAGCTCAACAACCCAGATGCTAAGCATAAGGCAAGCAGGGTCAGAAAGGGAAAGAAATTGCCCAGCTGCCCTTTATCTGAAACAACGCTTCATTTTGGGTGGAGCACCTGTTTAAAGGTAACCTATCATAAGAGAAATAGGGCTGCCATTGCGGGCCATTTCCTGAAAATGCTAGTTGTCTGGCCATCATGCTGATCCTCTACTTTTTTAATTTCCGAGTCGCTGACCTAGAGTAAGAATTCACACCCACACCAGTGTCAGAGACTCAAACTATTAAAGCCATTGGATCAGCATTATAGCTAAGCAAGTAGGAATTTAGCAACGGCCACCTCATATTATTCTCAAAACAGATTTCTTTTAACCCTTCTTACTGTCTCTATGCCATGTCACAGGTGTTGTGTAGAGTACCTGGTAAACTGAGGAAGTTGTCGGTAGGATTCCGGGATGTCCAGGGGTTTGTATATAAAGTGCAATAGTTCCGGCACACCCACAAGAGACACACTATATGAGCAGCAATGCAGTGCACCAGCTAGAGCCTGCAAAGAGTTCTGGGTCTCCATGACCTCCTGGATTCTTCTCTTGCAGTCAGAGACAGCATAGAAGGACTCTTTGTCGGTGGACAGCAGTACCAAACACACTGTGCACTGAGGATCCAAGTACGAGATATAGGCATAGAAGTAGCCGTCTGGGTTAAAGCGCGGGAGGCATATGGGAGTCCAGATCTCACCAGCCTGGAAGGCAGAGGAGGCCCCGATGAGGTTCAGTAGAAGATGGAGGTCAGTGGGGTCCAGACGACAGTCCTCAATGACGGTCCGTTCTTGTACTACAGTAACCAGTTGGTGGTTCGCCACCAATATGGAGAACACTAGATTGGTGGTTATGGACTTAGTCAGTAAGGAGCTTAAGGAATCCCGAAGTGTGCTCGGTAAGGCCAGGCATCGCACAGCACCCAACAGAAAGCCAGGGTCAGTGTCCAACAAGTCGAGCAAGCTGTCCAGGATCTTCTCCGAGCCAGCAAGGAGACGCCGCAGGTCATAATTCTTCTTCTTTTCGAAGATTCGAGCTACACTGGCCTGAGTTAACATGCTAATTATCTGATAGTAAACATACTGGAGTTCCTGTCTTAGCTGCTCATTCGTCTGAGGGGACGTGGATACTGATACCAATACCAGGGGCCCCTGCTGCAGGAAGACAACTTTCTGGTTCTCTGTGAAAAGAGACAAAAGCAACAGTAAGCCTTGTGGACCCAGGCAACATCAACCAGTGTGTCCTCAATATTCCAACACTCTACTGACCTCACCTTCTGAAAATACTATTCCTACCCAATCGCTTCAGTACTTTCTGAGTCACTGACCTGGAACAAGTATGCAGTTCAGGAGATCTGACTACACTGTTCCCGGTTAGTGACTCAGTAAGCACTGAAGCCAGAAAAGGCCAGCCAACTAGCATTTACAGAAGGAGGTGCGCAAAAGAAACCCACCTCACCAAGGATTTAAAGTCAGATAGATGTTTCATTTTAATGTCCCCAATGCCTCAGAGCAGAACATAATCACCTTTGCTTTGCTCGTTAATGCTCCACTGAGCCTCCAGGAGCGAAGAAAATGCTAGGTTCCCCTGGGTATGGAGAAGCATGAGACTCATTCCATGTGGCAACGCTGTTGCTTTGTGATTGGCCCAGTGCTGCTACATGGGAGTGGAGAAGACGATCCTTAGTAACATGTAAGCTTCAACTAGAGACTCATAGATTTCACAAGAACAGAGCATCATGGGAGGAAAGGTGATTATTAGCTGCTTGGTAAGGGTGCATTAAAGTGACACCATTGCTTTTCACTACACGGCCAAAGGATAGGTTTGCTTTGAGCACCATGACCTAGACAACTTCTCTATAGAGAAAGATCAGCACACTACCCACAGTAAAGCTGGCCATAAACCAGTAGAATTTCATTCCAAAATTTTTTTTTTTCAGAGCAGGCTTGAAAATCAAAGAAGCAGGATGGAAAATTGTGAATTTGTTTCCTTTAAAAAAAAATCCATTCATGTCAAAATCAAATGTCCAAATAAAATGAATTTTTAAACAATATTCTACAAGTCTCTGATGACATTCTCAAATGTTCTGACGAGATTTTGAGTATGAACATCAACATGAATATCTACCAGTGTTTGGCCAGCTTAAGTGTGAGTGCGCCATGAGAACATTTACACTAATGCACAATATGCATCTAAACGGAATGTGTCACAAAACCCCATCATTTCAGTAAAACAATAAATTCTTTTTGTAAAAAAATATTTTAAAAAAACACCATTTGTGGATTTCCTTTGTGCACAGCAACCAATCAGTGCTTACATTTAATCTTTAAACCTGCACTAGAAAAATCACCGGTGAAATTTGATTGGTCGCTGTGGGTAACATCTTTCAAATTCATTTAATCTAAAGAGTTCCACAGAATGATTTGATTATAGTAATGAGGCAAGGCAATACTGTACAAAAGGAGCAGGCTTTCAAGAAGTTATGAGGGAGAGTTTCTGACAAACCATCAAATTACATTTAGTCAGGTAAGAGGAGCGCTCTTAGGATCGAGGCTTATTGTAAACCGATTTAAAGGTTTCCCTTAATGAGGATTAAAAAAAAAAAAAAGGGGTGCAGTTGAAGATTCTCACCTACCTGAATGGATAGACCTGATTGAGTTATTGCCACTCTGGACAAAACTGACCAGTGCCATCATGACACCCATGGTGGAAGACAGGGCCTCCTCGTTACCGTGGCGCGTGTAAATCGGCTTTCCTGCCTCACTCAGGACAAAGACGTGCCTCCGTTTGGTTCGCCAGCTCTCCGCAGTGACATCCTCCTCACGCTGAACTGGGGTAGTAGGTGGTGATACCTCAGCAGTGACAGTTCCAACCACTGAAGAAATTCCTTGAAAATCTCCAGAGTCCTCCAAGGTATTGTCAATGGAAGCTGATTCAGTTAGTTCCTTGAGGTCGTCAGACTCATATTCCACATCTACATTCTCAGGTTCTAGATCCTCAACAAGGTCTACATTAGAGGAATCCACAACAGACGCTTCTGTGGAATACTCAGTGGAAATATTAAATGACTGCTTCAAGTTATGATCTCCTGTGGACATGTCATCCAGTTCTGAACTCCTGTCTGAGCTAATTTGTGCAGATTCTGGTGGCAAGTTCTCTTCCAACACGACACCTGACGTTCTATTTTCCCTGTCCAGTTCACCCATTTCTGAAGAGATATTGTGCTCTAATCCTTCACAAATGTCTGCCCTACTAGAGTCATTGTCTATACTGCCCACTTCATAACTCAAAACCTCTTTTGAGGTAAGACCATCAAGTGTTTTCTTCAAGCTTTCCTCCATTAAAGTGCATTGCTCAAGAGTGTTTATAAACTGCTCCTCTTCATCAGCAATAACATGGCTACTACAGTCTAAAGGTTCTTGAGAAGTTTCTCCTGCTGCTTGGGGGTCTTCTCTAGACTCTGTAGAATAACAGTGGTTTGTTTCTTCATAGACTCCCTGAAACAGAAGAGCGGCCCCATCATGTGCATTTTCATTGTGACCCGGCTTGTCCGAATCTAGAGTTAAACTCTGGGCCTCAGTTTGGGCAGCTGTACCTTGCTCACCATCAGTGACCTCCTTCTTTAATGGGTAATCAAGGAGTGATGGCAGAGTTGGATCAACAGAGTTGACTGGGCTTGCCTGGTCCTCTTGATGTACTGGAAATAAGTAAAAACACAGTTATACATCTCAGCATATAGAAAATTCTCCAAATACTAGGTGTCTGGTCTGCCTGCTAATCTAATGGCTTTAATACATTAAAGCCAAACTCTAGGTTTGATTTTGGGTAAAATTCTAAAAACAGAAAAAAGCTAATTTGGATCTTCACACCATTTCGGTTTTATCCTCTATTGTCTGGAAAACAGAAACAAAATGGACAACCTACTGCTGTGAGCAACTGGCTCCACATTTTCTTCAAGGTTTTAATAAACCCATCCTTATACACAAAGCCTGGAATTTAATTTAGGACATCTGACTTCATGGAACTGCCGTCCGTCCGTTTTTTTACTACGGGCGGACGGCAAGAGGTTAAAGGGTAAGTGTGAGTGCATTTTTTTAGTTATTGCTATTGTTATCTTAAAAATATTTTGGATATGACATGCATAGCTTTATAATTTTGCTCATAGTTAGTTGTTACCATCTTACAGAGAGCTTTGTAAATGAGCCCCTAGAGCAGGGGTAGGCAAACTTCGGGCTTCCAGCTGTGGAGCAACTACAAATCCTATTAAGCATTACAAGACTGACAGCCACAGGCATGACTCCCAGAGGCAGGTGCATGATGGTATTTGAAGTTTCACCACAGCTGGAGGGCTGGAGAAGCGCCACAAACTGCTAATTAGGCAAGGGGCACACTGACAGGAGGAGAGAGGAGTCCATCAGTCTGGTGCTTCTTTCACTGTGTTTAGCTGGAGTTCAACTTTATTGTAGGCGTGTTCACCTAGAATAACTGGAAAAATCTATATTATTTTCCCATAATCCGCTGTATAGTAGAACTAATCATGGGAGGTCGGGCATAACTACATTGTGCAATGCTAAGCTAAAGTTTTCAGGCACTGGGGGCTGGAGAGGGCGGTGTTTAGGTCGTTTTCAAGAAAAGATGGTAATGGACGGATGGATTCCCAGTCCAGTAAGCAGGCTGGTGACACAAATGCATTCAAGTGCCATAACTATTAACAAAAATGTATCTTATTTGTGTATCACTCAGCTGTGGGTCCTCAAATCATCTCTGAATTGGAGCCGACACTGTCCTTCCTTCTGGAGGGTGGCTACTTTGGTTCCCCATGGTCCCTGTGTGTGTTGTAAAGTAGCCACCTCTCCAAGCTCACTCCTGTGACGAACTACAATTTTTAATACAAATTAGAAAACTGAACATGAGATTGTAGTCCATCAAGGGGGGGAGCTTGGAGCTCGGTCTACTTTACAGCACACACAGGGACCACGGAGAACAAAAGTAGCCACCCTCCAGAAGGAAGGACAGTGTCAGCACCAATTCATTTGAGGATCTACACCTGAGTGATGCACAAATAAGATTCATTTCCGTTAATAGTTAAGGTACTCGAATGTAGTTTTAAGATTTAACTCCTACATTTAGTGTTACTTTAAAACATAAGACCAATCTCTCATACAAAAACAGAAATTGCAGGCAGTCTGGTCCTCACCTGCCCCCACCCACTTCATGAAACGTGGATCATTTTGTTCTCCTGACATTTCAGCCAGGCCAATACAAAAGGAAAAACATATTTTCAGACCCACATGCTGCTGGCAATGGTCAAACTAGTACAAGGAGCAGCAAAACACTGGTGGGGAGGTTTAGAATCTCTTTCAGGTTTTGACTGTTGCCTGTGTCTCGTATGGGGGGGTTTCGCCCTCTTTGTCCTCATGACCATTGTCACAGAGACAGAGAATGATGGGAAATCCAACATTTTATATTTGCCTCCTAAACAGTAGGTGAAATGAAATTGTGCGGTGGGAAAACTTGTTCCGGTGACAGCTGGTCTAAAAGGGGATTTCCTCTCACTTTGGGGTGGAATATCTGTATGCTTTCTGTTGTGTTTCTGAAACAGGCGGTGAAGGAAAGTCACTGTAAAAGGACACAGACAGCAAAAAATAAGCCCAGTAGGGGGCTTAACCGTTCTATTTTTGTGAAGCTCGGTGGTAATTGCATTGTAAAACAAACCCCTGTAAAGAAAAAAGGGAAGTGTGCAATCTCAACACACACAAAAAGTGCACAGGGGTGCTGTAAGCCCCCTCCAAAGAGGAAGAGACTCAAACCCCTGACGAAAGACTCATGACAGGGGCAAGGTACCCTGCGCCACCTAGGCCATAACCAGGACCTTGATCCTTAAGGACCAGCTGAAGCCAGTCCACCAAGTACTTGGTGAGGGCTCTCTTGAAGAAGAGATCCCCAGTGGGGAGAGGAAAAAGACCCGAAGGCCACAAAACCTCTCCCCAGACATCAGGATGGGCTGTGAAGGAACTCATACTCTCCAACCTTTTGTGCTTGTGCAATAAATAAGTGCTACAAATAAATAGGGGTTAGTGGAAGACATGGCAGGCCTTGCCACTGAAATAAAAAATTGCTCTGGCTGGCAAAAGGCCTGCCTGGGAAGCGTGTGCTGAAAAAAGCATGAAGTGCCGTGACTTTGTGCCATAGACTTTGTGAAAGTGAGATCCCAAAGCCATTGGGGGGAATTTATCAAAACTGGAGCAGACAAAATCTGTATCAGCTGTGCATGGCAACCAATCAGCATCCACCTTTCATATTCAAATCCTAACTGAACAAACTGAAGAGACAAGCTGATTGGTTGCCATGCTCATCTGCTCCAGTTTTGATAAATGCCCCTTCATTGTGTTTTTATGGCACCCCTGAGATGCCACCCCCAGAGGTCACAGCACTGCTGGCTTTCTACTTTCTCCCCTAGCCAGACAAGGGCAGCCCCAATCACTACTGAATTCAAACTAAAAACAAAAAGTTTTGGCCTTAAATTAAGTTTACCTCTCTGCTGCTTGTCTTCTCTGAGCTGCTCAAGGCTTGGCGATTCCGATTTCTCAGCCATCATTCCCACATCTCCTGGAGGTATAGACAGATAAAAAAACACATGGTCACAAATAACCTCCATTGATTCATCCATGTTTCACCACCTATGTAGCAGACTTAATGGGTCAATCCAATCAAAACAACTTTTTCTGTGTGTATATATGCATATGGAGGCAGCCATTTTACCTCATTACATATGCATGCGCTGCTTCCTACTTGGTACTGCTACACAGTGACCGTTCTTTAGTGCAAACCTTTGGGTCAGATCTGACCTTATAGAACAATAGAGACTTTTTAAATCGAAGGAAGTTTATCACAGCAGTAATTAAAGTGTATCTCTAGACAAAACATTTAAGATTGGCTAGCATGGGTAAGGGTTAAGACTGCTATCAGATTTTTATTTCTGCCTGGGTCTGGTTTGCTATAAGCCCTGGTTTACATGGGCAGCTGAGGGGAGGTAAAAACAGGTGAATGATCTGTATTTTTACCACCACTGAACGCCCTACTAAAACTTAGCAGCAATTTTTAAACAGCATGTCACGTTGCAATCAATGGGCGTGCAGTTGTGTCAAAGTATTGCAAAAGAAAATCCCCAGCATTCAGCTAGCGGCAGTATCGCCTCCTGAATGCTGTGCAGCCACCCTGCTACTGCCCTCTGAAAAGTGATACGCCACAGATCACTTTTCAGAGGGGCGGTGGAGCCAGAACGAGGCCTAAGGGTAGAATGGCGACATCTATTTTGTGTGGTATCAACCTGCAATATAAATAAAAACACAGAATATAGAATTTTTAAATGGTCCGTTTACTTTACTGTAATTTTGTGTTTAAAGGATCAACCTCTTTGCTGCCGGCTTTAGAGAGTATAGTGGTGAAATCTCAGGTAATTCAAATTTGGATTTGTGTTACTTCAAACATTTAGGAAACTGCAGCAGTGAAACTCCAAAATGAAGTTGAAGGTCCTAGGAAAGCCCAGCAAGGAAAGGGGGGGGATAAACCTACCAACAGAAGTCAATTTGATAAGTATTGTGATTGTAATGTCTTCCTTATATTGTAAAGCGCTGCGCAAACTGTTGGCGCTATATAAATCCTGTATAATAATAATAAAGAGAAATGGGACAGTGGAGTTAATAGAAGACACATGAGAGCTGTCAGCTGCTTCCACTTACATACACAGGAGGTCATGTGCCACTTGCCCTGGGCAAAAAAAACTGATCTGATGTTCACTGGCTGATTATGCCGATATGACTCGTGCTCCAACAACACAGCAGGATGGACAGACATTACAAGTAACTACATTTGACATAGCCTGATAAAACAAAATCTATTACAGACTACAAATATATGTTTGCTGACCCAGGAGAGGACAATGCCAATCTGAAAAAGCAGAAGAGCCGCTGCCAGCCAAAAATAAAGGGGGACAGCTAGCTGACATGAAGGATGTGTTGCGTGACATACATGGTTTCCTAATATTGTAATATAATGTTGCACAACTGGAAATATTCTCAACAACAGACCTGCATCACTGTGGGTAAAGTGTCCCTGGACAATACTGACACTTGCTGATGTTTAAAGCCCTGGCACAATGACATGAGTGCCAGGACAATGAACCACTGACGCATGCAGGCACCAGGACAATGACATGCCGATACTTTGCCAGGACAATGGTGCTCTGATCCCTGGGATACTGAAACACTGACCTCTGGTCAGTGGCAGTGTCACCTGGGGGTCCTGGCACAGTGTCACCTGGGGTCAAAGCACAATGACAAAGGTCAGATCTCTAGTGCACACCTCAGTTTATCACCACTGCAAGCAAAGTGTTTGTTATGCCACCACTATGAGCCCATCGCATGTCATACTCTACAACAAACAAACATTCAGCTTTGCTTTTCAAGAGTGTTGGTGACTGTATGTACATACCAGAGCTGTGACACCCTGACACCTGGGAAATCACAGAGCAATGACACATTGGTGGTTAGGATCCCAGAATAATGACACACAGACAGACAATTATGGATGGCATACTATTCACATAATAAACACTTAAATATGTGCT